GACACTGCAGCTGCGTTCCCAGCTCTCGCGGTCTCGCTACAGGCAGTGTAGGGGACACACAGTTCAGGCACCTGACCCAAACTGACCAAGGAAGTTTTTTATTCCATAGCACGTCATGCTCGGGGCAGAGGCGAGGAGGGGGTCTGGGAGCAATTACTCCCTCTCTTACTCTCTCTCTCGTTTACCCCCATACACTTGCTGACACTCTCCTGACTCCTGTGTTAGCTGCTTCGCTAACTCCTGGGCTGGCTCGTTTGGGCAGGAGTTGGTGGGTTTGTTTAGTCTTCCTGGTTGTGTTACCACTGATGGGCTTTGCTCAGAAGCTGCTGTGACAGCTCTCGGGCTGTGGCTCTTGGGCTCTCTGGCTCTGACTGTCACTTCTCAGCACCTGGTTGTGCACTGGTCAGTGAGTGTTCAGCAACTGTATCGTAATTGTATCATATGTTTTATTTTCTATTATTTTAATTACTTATTAGTACTAGTATTTGTATATATTCATTTAGATTCAATTAGTAAATAGTTCTTATCTCAATTTTACGAGCTACCTTAGTTCATTTTCCTCCTATTCTTCCCCTCTACTGGAGGAGGGGAGGGGGGATTTGTGAGAGCGGCTTCGTGGTATTTTGCTAGCCAGAGTTAAACCACAACAATTAGCTCTGATTTTAGTGCATTGTTAGCCTTGCTTTACAAAATCTCCATCCTGTTCACAGATTCAAAAATCACCGGAGTTGCCTTTGAAGCCTACGTTTTATACTGACAATCCTCAGCACACCAGAGCTCCGAATTCACCTCCTTGGGAGCACACAGAACCGCAAAAAGGAGAGCCACGGAGAGCAGAGCCCCTGCTGGAACAAAAGTCAGCAGATCTCCCTTCTACCGAGCCCGTTGTTTCCCATCAGTCCCCTCCTCCTCCGGTGGCTCATCCCACAGCCTCTGGGGCAGTGTTTCCCAAAGAAAACGTGAGTAGTGTACCTTTGCTGCTGTAGAAATCTGTCAGAGCAAATAATATTGTGTTCAACATTCTGAAACAACAGGGCCTTTTGTGGTTATTCTCACAGTTTATGTAGTCTCTGAAACAGACTGTATTGCTGACCCCTGCCCATCTAATGATTGGCATGGGTCTCTCTCTTTCCTGAATTTCTTTGGAAGCTTTTACAAACATTCATTGAGATTGAGGCAAAGGGGATTGTACCTGATTGCCAGACAGAGGAGTGGAAGGAAGTAGATGTTAAATGACTGCTCAGGGGTTACACAGCCAATGCAGTGGAAGCTGAATTCTGCTTGCTCCTTTAATGGCTTAATAAATCTCCTTCTTGGAGATCATGCCGGATGAATCTACAGCAGCAAGGCAGTCTGTTGGATTGTGATTGTAGGGTAAGAGTCTTGGTGTCCTCTCTAAAGAGAGGAAGAAAACCATGGTATCTAGTTGGCTTGATCTCTAGGTGTTGCTGCTCCAGCTTCTGGCCGAGCTAAGGATGCCTCGCGTTGACTCTAGCTGATGTAAAATAACAACAAGTAATGACTTCCGGGCTTCCTGTCATCAGGGGTTTTCTTCTGTAGATGTGTGCACTTCCACAGACAAGATTTGTGTGCTTTAGTGTATTCTATAGGCAAGAAATAAGTTGTGTTTGTGGGTGCCAGTTCTGCTTCTTCAGGATGTTAACGGGAATTTCAAGATCTGTATTGGATTGTAAAGCGATGTTGCTTTGACAGGGGGAAAAATACATTGAGGTGAATCCAATTAGTGATGAAACAGTTTCATATTGAAGTAATTTCTTCAGTAGCAAATTCTTCCTTCTCTATTAGGCTGAATTTTTACCTTACGACGAGAGACCTCTTCCAGCTATCCGTAAACAGTGTGAGGAAGAAATTGCCTACCTGCAGCCGGAGGTGACCGAAGAGGGTATCAGGAACACTCCAAGAAGTGGCATTACTGGGGAACCAGAGCCATTGACTGAGAGGGCACTGAGGGAGGCCAGCCACGCTATTGAAGTTTTTGGAGAAGCTTTGGTAAAGAACAACAAAAGAAACGCGTGGATTATTGTGATCTGGGTTGAGGTTGCGATATGTATTGGGTTGATTTGATAAGCGCTCTGCCAACGAAGACCTACCGATATGGGTTTTATATGTTCAGAGCTGTCACTTGAAAAACCTGAGGTTAAAGTTCGACGTTGAACAGATGGGTGCCCCTTTTCAACGTTATTATGATGCTGTAGCTTTTAGGATTGATTGCGCAATGAGCTATTAAGCAGATAGAGTTCAGTAGACTGTTTAAGGTGTGGACTCTACCAGAATGCCCTTAACTTGCCACTGTCTTTTGTAGGGAGAGAAACTATTACTGTGCCTGAAATGGTTCCTTGAGCCTGACCTGTTAATCCATTTTACTCATCATTGTTCAAAAATATGGGCTTCTAATAAAAGTCAGATACCTATAGGACACACCTGGAGATTTCATGCCTAAGCTCGTATGGGTTTTTTTGAGGCTGTTTCTATACATAAGCGTTGGATAAATACTGGAATGTCAGTATTGACCTCCTAAGAGGGAAACTTGTTCTGTGTTCAGGTTTCAGGAGCGTATTCCAAAACTTGGTCGTATCGGGAAGATGCGTTGCTGGCGGTGTATAAGAAGCTGATGGAAACATCGGTGAACACTCCAAAGGAGGATTTAAAGAACATGCTGAGGGCTGCCATCTTTCTTGTCAGTAGAGCCATCAAAGACATAGTGTCTTCAGTAAGTAGCGGTATCTTTGATGAGAAATGCTACAGTGAAGAATTAACACCAAAAACTGTAGAACTGTGTGGTTGACATACTTCAGTCTTACAAACTCTTTGTTTATTTACTTTTGAGTAAGTTAAAAAAAAGCCAAACCCAATGGAAATGTCAGCTTTTAGTTTGGCTGAAGAACTGGGCACATCTAGCATTCAGCAGCGTGGAAGTACTGCCTTGGGCTGTGGAATGAGCTTGGGAAACTAGTGCTGATGCAGTAAATGTATAGTGTGGCTGAGCCTGTTGAGCTTTTTGATGGTTTTTTTTTGAGGGAGGGGTGGTGTTGTACAGTTGAAATACAGCAATGATCTTTTCGTTTCCAACTTGAGAGACTCCGAGGCATCAAATAGGCCTTAAACAAGAATAATAAAAAACACTCAAGAGCTGTGTTAGTCTTTATAAAACAAATTGTGAAGCCTTTCACCTGAGCCCTAGCAGGATCTTTTCCATAAGGGGGGTATCCAAAGCAGCTTCCATTAGGAATGTCACTGTAATTCTAGATTCCTGTTGCTGCTGTTCCTTAGAACTACAGAAAAGTACTCAGAATATTGTCTGAAAACAGGCATCTGTCTGGTGTTTTTGTTCAGTGTTTCCTTTTTCTTTTTAATTTAGGTTTTTCAAGCTTCCTTGAAACTTTTAAAAATGATCATTACCCAATATATACCAAAACATAAACTAGGAAAACTGGAAACTTCTCACTGTGTGGAAAAAACGCTTCCAAATTTGCTTTCCAGAACTGGAGACTCTTCCTCCCGTCTTCGCCTTGCGGCTTCTAACTTTATTCGGGTAGGTGTTTTCCTTCTAATTACGGTTTGGTTTGCCTTAAGGATGTCATGGAGCTTCCAGGCGGATCACATCTAAGCCCAGAGTTCCCAGAGTTTGCTGCTGTTGAAGGATTGCACCGTAGAGGGAAGGCAAAGCGGTAGCACCAACTTGGTACCTTTGCAGTGGTTTTTCCAGCAGCGTGTTGTCACCTTTGTTGTGGGGCACAGTGTGGGGAGACAGCAGCTGCTGCGTGATGTGAGAAGGGTGTAACTCTCCCGTTCAAGTGATTACAGAGATGAGAGCGAGAAAGTACCACACATTCCTCGGAATGTGCGTGACTCTGTTGTGTCTTTGGCCGCCAGCTTAGCAAAAGCACAAAAAAGATGCCTATTTTAAAAGACACAGCCCGTTCCTTGCTTAATGTTAGCAAAGAGCAGGTGTGAATAGCTGCTAGAGCATTAAATTCCAGTAGAACTTGGAAAAAAGAGCAGCAGTTCTGTGTGAAAATGTGTTAATTCGGTCCCTGGAGCGGAGTGAATCACGGGCTCCGGGTTACTTACCTTTGCTTGCAACCACAATCAGAGGGGGAAGACCTTTTACTGTAGATGCAACTAGTTCCCGCAGCATCGTGGTGTGAAGTGTTCTGATGCGTCTCTGGAACCCCAGAGGTGACGGGTTACTTTATTACTACTGCTGGGCTTCTCTAGAACGGATTTTTCAAGGACACCATGGTTACAAATGTATTTTTGTAAATAGGCCAGGGCCTGGAGAGAAGGAAAATGTCTGTTACATAGCGCTGCTAACAGCTGATGAGCTGCCCAAATAAGCCATTCCCTAGGGAAGGTGCCACGTATTTCTAGAGATAAACGTGCCCAAACCGGGGCAGCCAACCCAGTGACAACGGCGTCTGGCCCTCGGAAGAGGGGCTGCAGGACACCATTGTCTGCTGGAGCATCTGTCTCTCCGGGCAACTGGGAGGAGGACTGCTGTGGACTATTAAACATTCTGTTACCTGCCAAGAAATAAACACTGGGTTTGAGTCACAGCAGAATCTAGCCCTAAATACTCTTTGTGAAATAGAATGAGAAAATGTAAGATGGAGCGTTCAGTGTAGGATGGAGTTCTTGAAATTCTTCTTACAGCCCAGTTCTATAACTCTTGTTCAACTGAGCATGTCGAAGATTCTATTGATTTCTCAACAGCCTGTTCTCTGATGCCAAAAGCAATACCAAACATCTGTTTACTCTTCTCTTTAAAACCTTTGCAAGTAAATTCTGGCTGATAAAGTAAATTCTGGCTGATAAAGTAACGAATAAGCTGCTACTTATTTCATTTGACTTTAGTAACAGAGAGTTACTACTTTCCTCATTCAGTGCTCCTATCTGCACGCTGACACTCTGTACATTTACAGGAAATGGCACTGTGCAGTGAAGTTAAACCTCTGCAGACTGTTCCCGTTCATTTGGTCCAACCGTTAAAAGCCAACGCCCCAACGCATCTGGCCATGAGTCAGGTGGAATTAGTGGAATGCCTCTTGAAGGACATGGGAACTGAAAACTCTGGGTTTACCGTCAGCAACGTCATGAAGGTAGGAGTTTGGCTTTACAGCGCGTGAAGGCTTTTGTTTTCCCTTTGCTGTTTTATTAGGGCTCGTCTGTTTTGGAGTGCTTGGTGGGTCACTAAGGAGGATTTGAGCCTCTTGGAGGTGACAAGACATAAACTTGTGAGGATGCAGGATGCTGATACTGAGGAAAAAAGAATCACTGGGCCAAAAAGTGTTTGGAAAAACCCATTCGTATGAAGATTTCTCCCACTGCAGTGAAATTATTCTCTTAGCCTAATAAACAAGTCCTTAAAAAACATGTGGGAAGAGAGAGGGATAACCTACTTGTTTTTTGCTTTTCAGTTTGCAATGGGAGCTTTGGAACACAAAGTTTATGAAGTTCGTGATGTAGCGCTGCAGATTATCTTCGATATGTACCGGGAGCACAAGGCTGCTACACTGGAGTATCTCCCTCCAGACGACGCAATCGTTCGCAAGAGCATTCTCTACAAGACGCTCTTTGATGGATTTATGAAAATAGATGGTAAACTTTCTGAAGCTGAAATCAGGGTACGTAATGAGATTGTAGGACACGCATAGCTACTTTGAACATTGCGTTCAACTGAGCAGTACGCTGATTTCCTAGCTATATTAGGCAGTGGGTGACACACGTAGCAGAGTACCTTAAGGCGTGTTTTTAACTGAACACCAGCTTTTTACAGTATGCTATTACATATACTCACCAATAAAGCCTGTGAAGAATCCAGAGCTGGTACTTCTGAAATAATGCACCGTGATTTTGGAAAACAACACGCATTTTTCTGCTCGCTAGCCTGGGACACTTTAAGCACAGAGGAAATGCTGTGTGTTTGTTTCAGGTTAGTACAGAGGAGTTTGAAGGGAGGGAGGTGTTACTGTCCCAGACCAATAATTTAACTGAGCAGGGTATTTCTTGTGCTGTTTGTTCTCTGCTGATGTGTTTTGCAATCTTTTCTGTATGACAGGTGGTTCAAAAATGTCTATGATTGAAAGAGGGTTTCTTGACAGGCACGGAGAAAAGCAGCAACAGAAGCAGCAGAGAAACAGAATGAGGAAGAAATAAAAGTTCTGCAAGGTCAGCTGGCAGCTCTGAAGGAGATACAAGCAGAAGTTCAAGCTGGAAAGGTTAGGGTGTTTTAGGTTTTATTTTGATGTTCTCCAGGTATCACAGGCTTAGATAATTAACACTACTCATTAGAAATGGGGGAGGGTGGAGAAAGAGGACTTTAAAACCCAACAATTGAGAGAGCACAAGCCTGTGTCATGTACTCCCTGACTTTTGTTCTCAGCAGTCCAGCTTAAAATGTGGGGAGGTGTCCTAACATACTATAAAATTTGGATTCTTTTTCATAGCACCTTTGTCTATGGTAAATCTGAGTGTGTTTCTGCAAGTCCAAGTGTTGCTGTGCCAGCCGGGGAACTATATGGAGTGCATCCCGGCCCCCAGAGCATGCTGTACTTCACTTCCATTAAGTTTGATATCTGAGCCTTAGGAAGGTGGTCAGCTGCCCCAGTGCTAGGAAGCAGGACTTTTCCATCCTCAGAAGATTGCTGCCTCAATACCTGAGAGATTTGCTGTAGGACTGGAGGGGTGAACACTGTAATGCATTGGCTCTGCTTCTAAGCTTTTAATTCCAGAGAAAAACTAGGCTATCCCTCTGTTTCTCCCTGGCAAATGCCACAGTCATTAAGGACATTTGTAACTTAAATTTCTCTGTTCAATAGGAGAAAGAATCTGATTTTCAGAAGCCGAAGAATCAAGGTAGGTAGTTGCAAATAGTATTAAGAAATGTAGAGACATATCAATGTGGTTTTGAAACACTTAAGGACTATTGAGTTATCTCAGTTAAAAGCATGCCCGAGTGCTTTGTGTCGGCTGAGTCTCAAGCCTGTCGCAGAGGCAACCACTAAGCTCACAAAAGAAAATGTATTATCAGCTAACTGGTTAGTTTCTAATAAGAAATTAGCATGCCTTGGTTTGAAACCGCTTTAGATTTCTCCCCAGCCTGAGGCAGGTCATCTACTACCTCTAAAAGTCATCGCTGAGACGTGTTACTGTTGTAGATCACTACGGCAGTAGTTTCCCTGCTGCCCACAGGCGTGTGGTCTCGCAGCGCTTGTTCATCACTATGGCAGTGGTGTGTTCCGGCCACCTGGTTGGCTGTTAGGATCCAGAGCCGCAGCATTTCTAGGAATGCACATCAATGAATTCAAGTATGATCTGGGTTTTAATAGTTCTCTTCTTACAGGTTACCAGATAAACGAAAGCCCACAACGTGCAGCAGCAGAGATTCCAAATGATCGTTCCTCTGTCGCAAATTACTTGGATAAGTAAGTTAGATAAGCAGCTTTTAATCACCTTAAGCACTTAGTATAACCTGCAGGCTAATGATGATAGTATTTCTCCAGTAGATCAACACTCATACCTTCAGCATTTAAACAATGAAAAAGAAAATCCCTTCTAACAGATTCTGAATTACCACCAGGCAATCCTAGATGTTGATTTTTTAATATTATTTAATATTTTGTTATTTATAAGTTCTTGGATAGTGTGACCTTGAACTTGTTTTCCGAGTATTGCTTGTGGGATATGAAATTGTCACAGTGTTTTTGTGGAATTATGTCTTTCTATATGAACAAATGCTTTTTAGGTGTATTTACCATAAAGTATATAGCAGTATCTGTTCACGCCCTGTCTTCAGGTCAGCACGGTGTAGGGCAGATCAGCTGTACCAAAGTGTTAGCTGTTTTTCAGACTAGTGCTAACGGGAGAAACAGGATTCATCCATTTCACTCTGACCTTGCTGATGTTTGTGGTTTTTTTCCCCTAGCTTATGTATTTTTTGTGGTGAAAGGGACAAATCCTTCACAGAGGAAGGGCTGGATCTCCATTACTGGAAGCACTGTCCTATGTTAACCCGATGTGAGCACTGCAAACAGGTTAGGCATACCCTTCCTAGAGCTACTGCAAGACATGAAATCTTTTTATTTTGGTTCTAAGGGGCTGTAACATATTTAGGGCTAAAGTAGATGAATTCTGCACGCAGCTCCGTGATCATGGGTAGTGCTTTTTGAAAAGAGCAGCATTACAAATCGTATTAACTGGACCAAAAAATTCATTTTTCTCTTTTGTTATTTTGAAAAGTGAGATTTCACTTACAAAAAATCACGTGAGCAGTTTGTGAAATACTCTCCTGGTTTACCGGGCACGGTACGAACCCTCTTGAGTGGCTCTTGCTCTGTTGCAGGTGGTGGAAATAGCGAGCCTGACGGAGCACTTGCTGACGGACTGTGATAAAAAGGACAGCTTTGGGAAGTGTCAGCGGTGCAGTGAGGCCCTTCCAAAAGATGAGTTGCCCAGACATATTAAGAGCAAGACTTGCAATTGTGAGTAGTGTCGATGGGGGGGTTGCACTTGTCAAGTCAGTCAGACTTTCAAATTCTGTGTGGTTTTGGCATGTCAGACCACTTCTATTTAGGTACTGCGCTGTGGATTTAGAATTCCAAGTAAATCCTCAGGAGGAAACACTCTGGGAGTAAATGCCTGAGTTTCCCAGTGCTTGAAATGCTTCAATTCCATGAATGCCTGAGGGGAGGATGCATGAGGAGAGCAGAAAGCCTCTGCCACGTCCTTGCGGATTAATCCCTGTCATTCCTTTTGATCTTGTTTTGATGTAGATGATTAAACATGAGACTTCTTCGAGAGCAGCTAATGCTAGTGGGGCAGGAACTACCACGGGGTAGTTTTATGATCTCTGCCATGCAAGTTCTCCTCTTGTGTGTGAAATTAGCAAGTCTTTGCCATTCTTAGGTTATTTTTCTAATTGTTTCAGCTGCCAAACCAGAAAGCGTGGCAAACCACTGCCCGTTGTGCCATGACAACTTCTCCCCGGGAGAGGAGGTAAGACTGCCTTCTCGACTGCTCTGGTTCTGTTGTGTTGCTGGGACTGAGTTCACTCCTCTTCCAACGCTGGCTTGCACACAACAACCAAAGAAACTGCCTGCATTATTGCAGGGCTCGATGGTGGCTACCCCATGCACTGGAATCCAGGACTGAACCCGAGTCTTCTACCCCCAGAGGTGCCTATGGGAACCACGGGGCTACAGGCTGTTCAGTGTCAGTCTTTCTCCTCCTGCGTAGGCAGCTGTGCCCCTTGCAGCTTTCCAAATTCCCAACTACTACCAGATTCTGGGTTTGCTTGTCCAGCGCGGTGTTCGGGGTGACATTATAAAGCTTAAAATATCGCAGCAAGATGAGGCTTGGAGCAACCTGGGCTAGTGAAAGGTGTCCCTGCCCATGGCAGGGAGTGGGACTGGGTGGGCTTTGAGGTCCCTTCCAACCCAAACCATTCCATGATTCTATGATTCTATGAAAAGATTTTTCCGTGTTATTTACACATAGTTTTTTCCCGATTGGAACTCAGTTGTTAATGAAGAAAATTTAAAAAAAAAACAAAACCAATGTCACTCACTTTTACCATCTAGCACCTGGCTGGAATTATTCTTTATTGTGATGTACCTTTTAAGTTATATTATAAAAAATGGACATATTAATTGCTACTCCACTTACAAAGTCCTAACGTGTTCATGCTTTAGTGAGTGAGCAGCTTGTTGAAGTCTGTATGCCACTCTCGTTTTCCCCATGTTTTAAAAAGTCCATGTGCATAGTGACTAGGGAAAAGATGGGCTAATGTTGCTGGGTTTGTAATATCCCTTCTTTTTAATTGATTCAGGCCTGGAAGTCTCACCTGATGGGCAACGACGGCTGTAAAATGAATCAACGGAGGTTACCCACAATAAACAAAACCCTTCTGTTGCAACCTGGTAAGGGATTATTTTGTGTTAATGATGATTGTGTTTTGTACTAGGTTGCCTTCACTTAAGAGAAGTAGTTCATCCTTGAAAGCAAGCTGGCTCTTAATTGCTTGTTCTACAGGCTTTTTGCATTTGCATAACCTATCACTGTTTCTCACGACGGTATGGACTGCGGTGTACTGAGGGAGCACCCGTTCAACCACAACAATTCCAGGATGAGGGCATTGGCTCAGTTGACTCAGGAGAGTGGCATACGTGGTGATTTGGTCAGCTCACTCTTGTTTCTGCAGAAATAGTCTTTCTGCAGCCTTGTTTCCGACCTGAATAGAACCATCAGTGGTGACACCAAACAGTTAACATTCTGGAAAGCTCCTGACTACTGACACAGAGAACAGAGAGCCTGATTTAGCTTTTTACATCCAATCAGAGGATGCTAATCTAATCCTAATTACAAGATGGACTCAATAGTTAGTGCTGCGTTCTGCTTTTCCTTTTCCATTCAGACACAGGAACGAGGCAGAATCCATGATGGTGCAGCTTCTTTACCAGCAAAGAGAAATTGATGCTGATGTCAGGTGGTTTTTTTAACAGTAATCTTTATTTAGGAAGCACATGCAAAATCCTTTTATTTCCTGAATACAGAAGTTAAACAAACAACCTGTTTTCACTGTCTGCAGCGCCAAAACTCTTTTGGCCAGTAACATCCCCAAACCTTTCCCACTTCAGTCTTGTTTCAGGGTTCTTTAGTCTGCTGCCTGTTCAGGGTGTGGGTAGAGTTAACCTCCTCTGTCTGATATTTGCTTTGCTCATCTCTGAGTTTCACAACTGCTCCAAGTTCCTGGAAAATACTGTTGGATTCTCTCTTAGGTGAATGCGGTTAAACTCGACAGTTTCCAGTCTCGAACTGAACCTACAATCACATCTGTCTGTCTTTAGCGTTGCTGTTTCTACCTGCTAGTGAGAATGCTAGTTAGTTTGCTGCTGCTTAGAATTAGGAAACGTGGTCAGAAGGAATTTAAATCCTGCCTAGATAAAGCTGAATTTCCTAGAGACAGAAAGGGAACCCTGACCACTTAGTCCTACCCCTCCTGGTATGAGATGCCCCTCAGACTGGGTGCCTGCCACCTTGTAGTTGCTAGTAGCAGTCCTTCAGTCTTCCTATACCTTGAGAATCAAAATGGGAGTTAAAATCAAAGACTAGGACTATATGTGCTTGCAGTAACAATCTGTATTTTCTCTTCACAGGCAAAATAGGTGGCCCGTATTTAAGGAGGCCAGGTCCTTCGGGAGCAAAAGCTCGACCTCCCTCTATAGGAAGCAAGATCCCAACCCCAAGAGGGGGCCCAAATAAAAGCCCTGCCAAAACATACTCGAAGCGATGACAGGACAAGTATTTTTTTCCTTTGTCTTGATAACTGGGGATGTAGTTGGTGATAGTTATTTAAAAATTGTGGGCAACTCCTATCGTCTTTCTCATTTGATGACGTGGGGCTGTTTATTGGCCTTGAGCGGGGCCTCACTTTTTGGGTCGCTGTCTGTGCAGCGCTGTAGTTTTCTCCTGGAAATGTGCATGTGAGAAACACGCCCGTGTTCTGGGATGGATCTAGCCTGCCACGTTCCCGCCATGGCATGAGGAAGGCCGTGCGTTGGGCTGTGGCTGGTTCCTCGTATTAAAAACCCTCCCCAGTGAGTACAGAGTTGATGTGGCCACGCTGCGTGGCTCCAAGGGCTGTGCCCTGGTTAGTGGATTACCTGGGGGCTGTCTGGTTCTGAGATCCAGTAGGGAATTCCCTTAAGATCCAAAAGCCGGTCGTTTCTGTTTGGCTTTCTCTTGGGGAAACCTACCAAGCAGGACTCGTTCAGCGCTGTCAGGACTTCAGCAGCTTAGAAAACTAAGCTGCTGAAGGTGATTTTTGTTTGCCTTGCCATCAGATGCTTGTGGCAGAGCAGTAGGTGGCAAGCTAAACCTCGTGTCCTGGCAGAAATACACGCAGGTGGCCTTATGTCAGTGCCTTTGCAGAGACTTCAGTGTAATTAGACTTGAGGAAACGCCATTGAAAACATGGATATACAGTGAGCAAAACAGGCTGGATGCAGTCGTGCGGGTTCCTTCGGGTGATGATGTTGGTGCATCGCGGGGGTTCCTTCGGGTGACGATGTTGGTGCATCACGTGGGTTCCTTCGGGTGACGATGTTGGTGTATCAGCAGTGCGGTTGTTCATCCGCTGCGATGTGCAGCTGGCGTGAGGGTGAAACGAGAAGCACATGCACCTATAGAAGTAAATACATGTCAGACTGTACAAAACATCTGTCTCTCTTATCTGAAAGATCCATGTGATCCTGTCTAGACAAACTCCTGAACCAGTTAATGGGTAAAATAATTCCATAAAGCAAAATTCTCTCTCCCATGTTTGCCAGAAAAAAAAGAGAAATTAGGATGTAGCAGCAGAAAACCCACCCCCCCAGCTTTCTTCAATAAATCCTACAGTCTGGACTGATGTGCTTCAGTTGGCGCATGTGTACAAGTAGGGCCAGGAATTGGAATGCTGTCTCCGTTGTCTCCGCTCCCGCAGTGTAACGGAGTAACTGAGTCGTGCCGTTCTTCGGCGTTTGGTTCAGCCGGTGGGCCAGGATCGAGTGTGTTTGGACAGGAAGACAGACACTGTTCTGTCTTTTGCTTCATGGATTTGTCATGATAAACTTTGTCAGCTCTAAAATTTGCCCCGTCTTAGCTGTTGTGAAGCTTACGAGTCTTTTTATTTGTGCCAGGCTGTCGAACTCTTGGGTCCTTCACTGGAAATGGGAGCTGTGCTTTTTTCACAAACTGGCTGGTATCCTTGAACCCCCCTGAAGCTGGCTGAAAGCTCGACTTGACCTTGCAAGGAAAGGAACGGCATCAGGACCATTATAAAATGTTTCCACTCATTTTTAAAACTCTTAGAAACATTATTTGACAGATAACTGCGCTCCTTTCTAATGCCAATGTCACAGTTTAAGAGTTCAAGCATGTTAATGATGTCGAGGGAAACGGAGCCTCAGCCAAACCAGGGAGGAGACCTCTAGGAGTAACAGAAGCCGTGGCTGGTGAGAATTTGCCCTGCTGCAGCCCTTACCTCTAGTTCAGGTTTAGAGCTTTAAAGGCAGTAGAGCGGTACCCAAAGCGCTGCTCAGCACCAAGAATCAGCAGCAAAATGTCGTAGGGCTGGTTGGATTTTTGCTGTATGACACGCCATCACTGAGGAGGTAACGTGAAGGAGCTGTGCTGCACTGCCTCTCTGTGCACGAAGTGCCTTGTTAGTCTGCGTGAGAAGAGGATTAAGCCACTTGGCACGTACTAGGAGTCTGTAGCGACGGAGCTACTGTAAAAATTAAAGTTATGCTTTAAAACCTCACCATCAATTCTGAAATGTATCATCAAGAAATGGCCCCTTAAAGAAAAGAAAAGAAAAAAATCTGAATGAGGCCCTGAAAAGCTTTAATTAATGAATTTGGGCCTTTTTTCCTTCTTTAGTGTATTTTTCTCAGCTCGCTTCCTAATCCTGCTCTAATACTGAGTCTCTAGTTAGATCTCAATTAAAATCAACACCCACGGACTGCAGCGTGAGACCGTTTAGAGAACGAATTCTGTGAAGACCCAAGGTGTGCAGCTTTGTACCTAAACCAACGGCCTGTAACGCGTAGGAACTTGCTTTCCAGGGTAGAGTTAACCGGTCCCGCATCAGCGTCCGCCACAGGTACAGGAACGAGCGATCGCGGTAGTAGAATTTTTGGAGGTTGGGGTTTGTTTTGTTTTTTGCTACCTGAATTTGTGGCAGTGCTTTGTATGTTCAGCGCTGATTTTGGCATACCGCTGTTTCCTAGGTTGCGCGCAGCCTGGCTACGAGCTTATGAATTGTACAGGTAGATGGGTGCGCTTGGATTTTGAAAGCTTTTATATAAATTATCTCTTTAACTCTTTCAAATATATACATATGTCAATAAATGTACATACATTAGGATTATATATATTAACAAATGTGTATGTATGATTATTTCTACATCAGTGACACTGGTTCCTATTTGAGAACCCATTTCCTTAGGCAAGCGGAATAACCATCGATCTGGCTCAGAGATTGTCACGTGCCGTGACTGCAGGCTCACAAGCTGGTTTCACCTCATCGAATTTAAACTTGCACGGTGGAAAGCTCACAGTTTCAGGAAAAAAAAAAAGACCTTTGCAAAGGTCCTCCCTCTAGCGGGAATTGGCCGATCTCGTGTGTCTGTTGAATCGGTAAGTACAGCTCTTCGTTCCTCAAGTGTGGCTTTTAAAACCAGTGAAGCAAGGCGTAATTAAAATAATCCCATAAATCCCGCATGTAGTACTTTATAGCATTGCAGGATGGACTTTTTAAGCCCCAGAGCCCCACAAACACTATGACTTGTGGTGAGGGTCCAATTTCCCAGCGCTCCCAAGCTGGGCAGCAGTTGTGCTGGAGAACCTAACTCAGTAGTGAGGGTGCACCGTTATTAAGGCAAGAAGGGACTGTAGTGCCTCTCCCGTGGCCTTTTTCTGTCTGACTTGTTTCCGTACCGTGCCTGAATGTCATCCAAGTTGTTTTCCTCCACGTGAACTCCAGAATCAATTCACGAGCTGCCCGCATCCCTGCCCAAATTCACCTGGTCTCAGCGAGCGCGTGGAGTTCCCCTGCCCCAAGGGAGCACGTATATAGGCTCTGCGCTTCCCAGGTACTGGGATGCCCCATCCCTGGAAGTGTCCAAGGCCAGGCTGGATGAGGCTTGGAGCAACCTGGTCTAGTGGAAGGTGTCCCTGCCCATGGCAGGGGGTGGGACTGGGTGGGCTTTGAGGTCCCTTCCCACCCAAACCATTCTGTGATAAGCGGATTGGGAATGTAAATTCGAGAGCTTTTAGTGCTATAACTGCGGAAGTACAAGTCGCCCGCATGAACTACGGAAGTGATTCTGATTGTACTTAGTTGTTAAATCCGTCCGGCGAGTTTGGACGCCGGCCCGGCGTTTTCAGGCTGTTACGCAGCCCCCGCTCCCGGGCGGGGTGGGCAGCGTGGACC